CCAAGACCCCGATGATTACGGTACTGTTGGATTGGGCAATACATGCGGACTTGATACGAACATGACGGAGTTGTTGACATTTCGACGGCCGTGCAGGTGAGTAACCGGCTGTTTGTTGCCGAAGACGGGATCGATGAAGAAGAAGCGGTGGGAGCCCTCGGACCTGCAGAAATCAAAGGTGCTTTCTTTGACACCGTCAACGTCCACGTCCGACAACCGGAGGTAAAGCGAGCATCCTCATTGAGACCTGCTGTTTGCTTTACCGTCTGATGCGGATTTTTTCTGCGGACACGCAGTTAGTGCAGTTGGGGGGTCAGCAAGTGGTATCTGGCATGACTTCCCAAGCAATAGACATGTTTCGTTCAATGCGTGAATGCCTGCCGCCGTTTCAGACCGAACATAGCGCATACCGCCGCAGTCTGGGTTGTTGAACCGCCATACGCTGCCCTGTGCTTTCTCTCAAGGGCGGCAAGTGATACTTCTCGTGTGGCGAAAGCCGCTCATTCTGCAGCAAAACTCCGAAAATTTTCTGCCCGCAAACCTCTCTGCAGGATGATTGACACAAAGTGCGCTATATTTGGCGCAAGATTATGGCATTCAACACGTGTGTATTTTAGCCGCTTGCATCTGTGGGTACCGGGGGGAGGGGAGGTACACGTCATCTCACGCGGGTTAGGTATCTTGCAGCGGAGGCCGATGGCACAACAAAGGAGCGTGCCACCTCGTGGGTAGAGTATTAGGTGATCTGTGGATGGCCTCGCTGTCGTGTGTCGTTTAGACTGATGTGCTTTTCGTCGGTCCCTCACCAGGATTACAAGCGAGTTCTTGTCTATGGCGGCGAGGACGAATTCGTTGACGAAGACATGAGGACGTCCTGCGGCCAGCTCAAGGTAGTTCTTACTCTTTCAGAGTAATTGCGCTCGCTACACAATACACGACGTCGACTGTCACGTATCGGGATGCGCTCCACACGTTTTTGCGTTCATTGCTGCACGAATCGCTCCCATTTTGTGTAGCGTGCTTGTCAGGGGCCTACCTGATCTCCTGTTCGATGAAACATTAGCCAGACGGCCCATTGCGTGCTTTCCAAAGCCAGTGGTACTTAGATGCCATTAGGTCGCTGGCGGTGTTGCCATGCTCAATACTTCGTAGTACTCAAGAATGGTCTGGAGGGATGATCAACGTGTACGATGACCACAATCCGTTGTGCTTGTCGTTGCCCCAGACTGCTCTGAACCTGCGCGACAAGTGGTCCACGCTTGGACCTTCCCGGCCTTGTGAAGGAGCGCGCTGTATGCCACCCCCTCCTTCAGCCTCGTCGCCAGGCGAGTGGACCCCTGAGCCACCTCCCGCTGGGACCATGTCACCGTAGAGACGAACATGGTAGCAATCGTGCCAGAGGCTTTGTGGAAGCACTATCCTGGCCGGCCGTTTGGTGTTGAGTTGTGGGGATGTCCCTTGTGACCCCTCGCGTTCTTCCACGGTACCGTCTGCACGTTATTGATAGCCCCGTCTCCTGGCAAGCCGGTGGAATTTCGCAGGAGACCTGAGCCCGAGTATGACCCGTTCGCGCACGACGACGTACCCATGACCCATCATCGCCTGGAAGTGGTCGAGGTAAGACCGCACTGGCGTCAGTTTCTAGCTTTGGTCGATCCTGTACTACTCGCAGCTCCTGAACTTCCCCAGAGTCTGTCTGTATGAGATCGCGATTCACGTCGTGTAGTCTAGGTAGGGTACACAGTGGTTCTAGCTGCAGCAAAGTCGGGGTGTGGTGTTGGTGTAGTGTTGGCCTGGCCAAGCACATCGTTTTGGTCACAACAAAGAAAAGGGATCCTCTTCCCGAGCCCCTCCATGCGTGCGTTCACTTTCTCGCGAAAAGACTCTGCAACTCTCTTTTCGTGAGCAGTGTGGTGCATGGCATTAGCCTGCGTGTGTTTTGTCCCGAAGTGGCAAGAAGGCGACTCGCCCCCGTTGGCGGTTGCCTCACACTATCTCTCTTACGCTGCTTTCAATCCTGAACAACGGGCTCTTGGAGTCCTTATTTAAGATAATCTCTGGCACATCGTTGATCGCTGGGCTCTCAGCTACCACCAGACAACTGCGTTCACACGAAGGATAGAGTGCAACGAGCAGCGTCTGCGATCGCCAACATCGCTGCTACTTTCCATCTCTACTCAGGGAGTTTACTACGCCGTGGAAGAAGGGGAGACGCTTGACACTCCCGGGGTGCGACTGCCGTCGGTCAAAGAGTTTTTCACAGACCTTAAGGAATTGAATGGCATCATCCACTCAGGTGCGGAACTTGCTTTCGACACGGCAAGACCGGCCAGCTATATCTCTTGTCGTTGCGTTGGTGTGTGACGCATGCTTCTGGGGTGACCGGAGGCACGCATACCTCAATGTACAGGGAAGGCTATATGCCAATAAGGTGCAGCAGGTGTTGCGATACCCGAGGTTAGCTACGTGGTCTGTTATTGTTGTTGCCTGATGTCGTGACTTCCGCAGGCCCGGTGAAATCTCTCTGCTTCAAGCGCCTGCAGCTGTTGGAAGCGAGGTTCAATCTCCATGTCCTACTGAACCAGGAAGCAGAACTGGCTGCTCAAAAGAGCGTACCACACCGGGACTTCTACAACGTCCGGAAGGTGCCGTTGTAGAACTTTGCCGCAGTATCGCGATGGCGGTGCGGTCAATGCCAAACACTGCGACCCAACCCGGCCCGATGCATACACAGATGACCGGCGTTGTGTGGCAGCGGGCAATTGCTGTTGGCAAGCGCTTTCGTTCGGTGGAAGGTTTGATGAACGTACGCGTGAATTTTGCGTTTCTGGCATGTGAAATGTTTCTTTGCTCACCAGTGCTGTCCTTATGCCCCCCCACCCGGTAGGTGGACACACACGTGCACCATTCGGCCTGCATGAACCAGAAGCACCTTTTGCGCTTTATTAAACACAAACTCAAGCGATGCCCTAACGAGGTCGTCAGCTACCGGGATGGGCGCTTCATGACCCTTCAGGAAGTCTTCAAGTCTCTTCGTCTCAACGCGTACGACCTCAGCGTGGATACGCTCGACATGCACGCCAACAACACGTTCCACAGGTTCGACCGTTTCAACCTCAAGTACAACCCAGCGGGCCAGAGCCGCTTGAGAGAGATATTCCTCAAAACGGATAACCTGATTGCCGGTCAGTACCTTGCGCAGGTCACTCGCGAAGTGATCGCAGATCTGGCGAGTAGCAAGTACCAGTGTTCCGAGTGGAGGCTGAGCATCTACGGCCGGCGGCTGTCAGAGTGGGACAAGCTGGCACGCTGGTTCTTCACCAACCGACTTGCGCACCCGAACGTTCGATGGTTAATTCAAATCCCTCGGCTGTACCACATCTACAAGAAAATCGGCGAGGTGCACGTCTTTTCCGACATGATCAACAACATCTTCGCACCGCTCTTCGAGGTGTCTGTCAATCCAGACGCGAACCTCGCTCTGCACGCCTTCCTCAAGACGGTGGTTGGATTCGACTCCGTCGACGACGAGAGCAAGCGAGAGACGGTCCAGCTGGACCATGACAGATATCTCCCGTCCCCGGAAGAGTGGGACATCCCGGACAACCCTCCGTACGCGTACTGGAGCTACTACGTGGCTCAGAACATCACGAGCCTAAATCGTCTCAGAAAGTCTAAGGGATTAAACACCTTCGAATACCGCCCGCACTGTGGCGAGGCAGGCGATGTCGAGCACCTGGCGGCGTGCTTCCTACTTGCAGACCAGATCAACCACGGGCTCTTGCTGCGGAAGGTCCCAGGCCTCCAGTACCTGTACTACCTGAGAAGCATTGGGATTGCGATGTCTCCGCTGTCGAACAACAAGCTGTTCTTGGACTACGCCAAGAACCCGTTTCCAAGATATTTCGCGCAAGGCCTCAACGTGTCGCTCTCCACAGATGACCCGTTAATGCTTCACTACACGAAAGATCCGCTGCTCGAAGAGTACAGCGTCGCGGCGCAAGTTTGGAAGCTGTCATCCGTGGATCACTGTGAGATCGCGCGCAACAGTGTGCTGCAGAGTGGGTACGAACATCGCTTCAAGCAGCACTTCCTTGGAGCCGGTTACGACAAGGTGTGTGGAGTGATGTCAACTTGCGAAATGTTGCCGTTTGTCGAGAAGAACCTCGTAGAGCTCGATTTTACCATTTGTCTGACGGCCCCTTTGCCTTCTGTCGAATGCTTCCGTTGACTGACACGTGCAGGGGGCTGACGGAAATGACATCAGCATGACCAACGTGCCAGACATCCGACTGAGGTACAGACACGAAACGCTTTCATCTGAGCTGCAATTCGTCGAGATGGGAGGGGACGTTCGGCTTTCTCTTGAGGAGCGTGCGGTCGCCACAGCCTACGGGACGAAGCCGAAGTAGCTCAACTCTTTTTTCTAGCCGCTTCTTTCGGCCTGCACACAGCCGCGAACATCCGTTCACTTCGTGAAAATGTACACATAGGTTGTACCCTAGTGGGCAAAGAGATTGGATGTTTTGCCAGGCTGGCTGGGATGCCCTCCGGCCCCTGATCCTTCGGGACAAGAATATACCATGGTACAAGTATCTTGGTAAAGGCGTTAACGCTCTCCATCTTGCCGAATGGCGGTGTTCCTAGCATCTACCCAACGATTTAAGTTGTTGTTTCGCTGCACCATGAGCTCCAAATACCAGCCGAAGGGCTTCTTTCTTTGTCTAGGAACCAGCTCAGCATAAGCTCTGTAGACCTTAATGCAGCGGAGAAGATATTTTCGTGCTGCTCTCCAAGCAAGTTTTGGCCCACTACTTTTGGCATTGAAAGTCAAATTCCCGGATGTGCGCTACTCCTCCACCGCTTCACGAGGTCTGCGATTCGCCTTTCGCTCGATGCAAAACACATCACTGCCGTCTCCACCGTATTCAACTCCTGCCATATCTTAATACCCCCAGCACCCCGAATGCGATGAACAATGTGGTCCCCCCAATCCCCCCCCCCCCGTCCACGTCTACTTCGAATTGTCGTTGACCGCTTCGAAAAGAACAGACAGATTTATCGCTCAGGTGAATGCATTGTACACGACAACGAACGTATCCGAAATTTCAACCCGACACGTGTCAAACTACTGTAACCTCTATATACCAATCCACCGGAGACCCTAGCCTGTTAACTACGTTGATATTTTCAAGCCAGGTAGGGGGCGAACGAAAATGACATTTCGCGGATGTTAACTGCTACGTGGAGCGTCTTGCTGCAAAAAAGCTAACATTGCCAATAGGAGATTCTTGGCGCGTCGGTATCGAATGGGGAGCATCCGCCACGAAATGAACACACGAACATGCAGTATAACGCCTTGTGCAACGGCAATGCGCTCCTCACTATCGGGTATTTTCTACTACGACGTATTACCTTGCTGGGTTCAATCGAATCCCCACACGTTCCACACGACACACACAATGATGTGGCTCGAAACACTTGAGGTCCTCGATAGTAACCCGACACCGAAACGCAGGAAACACTTCGAACATATGGCACACAATCCAATCAAGATATACCAGGGACAATAGAGCTCACAAGAGGAGAGCTTTGGCCTTTTGCTCAGGAGGAGCTTTGTGCTCAAGAGGAGCTTGGCGTAAATATGAGACGTTCAAACCTCTCCTTTCGATCGACATCTTCTCTATAGCAGTACCGCATATCATGTATATCTATAATGCTAGCACGACTCAACACCATGGCTGGCACCAAACAGAACAGAGCGCGAAATCGCAGGTTCGAATTAAAATACTATCACCGCTATTCTTTCCAGTGTGATAGAGTCACGGGCGCCAGCGTGCGCGGGCTCGCGGCAACAGGCGCCGACTTGAACGATGGCCTATGGCTTGATGCAGCTGTGCTCCGATCATCTTTCCCAGCTGCAGACCGGAGGGCCCGCCTTAGGGCAGTGGAGTTTCTGTTGCTGCGGGTGTGTCGCGATTTGTCCATTCCCATCTCTTCCACAACGAGCGGTACCCGTAACCCCACGGATTTCTTTATCACTAACAGCCCCAGGAATGCCAGCGCCGCAACCCACCCAGAGATGGAAAGAATTAAGATCACGTTTGCTGCTAGTACTTTCCCTCCGCAGCCGTACAGCACTGCCGCGCAAGTCGCATCAATCACCGGCAGGAGGGCGCACGAGCAAGGAAGCAGGAGCAACACACGTTAAGTCGCCTTAAGGTCAAATGGCAAACATGCACAAGGAGGTCATTGAAAAGCTTAGCCCACAAATGGCAAATATGCACAAGGAGGTCATTGAAAAGCTTAGCCAATAAAGAAGCGGGTGCCCAGCAAGGTGCAGACACAGGCTACGTATGGAATTCCGGTACCAAATTATGCCCACATTTGTTCAGTGGCACTTCGCTGTCGAATGTCGTGTAGAATGCACGAATAGCAACATCTGGTATCCTGGGGGTGTGACGACACTTGCGGAAATCCTTTCAAGCCCCGAGGCCGGGAGGGAAAACAGAATGATGCAAAGATATTCAGAAGCAATCTATTCCGAGGCCTCGAGTCCCGGCGAGTGATGAAAAAAACCCCAGCGAATCCTCTAGTAGTGGCCTCTCCCGCATCATTCCGGGCCTGGGCAGGAGAAGGCCGAAGACAGCAGTTGGGGGTGCTTGGACCCCTCTTCTACAAGGCGTAACATGATATGTGTTCGCTCGTGGTGGTCAGAGTACAAGTAGGGTAACACTATGCAGGTGCCCCGGGAATGAATGCTGTGCTACACACAACCCCGGCCACGAGAACAACGTTAATGTAAAGGGACAACACGCGCAAGTGATTTTCAACCAAAGTGCTTGTGGCCAGGACGACATTTGCACGACACCATTGGTCGAATTGCTAGTGTGGGTGTTGAGGGTTGGTGACCAGCCCAAGAATCATGACGCCACTCACGTCCACAGCACTGTTCATCTCGTTCTGGGTCGGAAAAGATTCCGTAGCTGTAGACGTCTTGGTAGCGGCTCCCTGTGCTGAACAGACCGACAGATACTAATCCCCACGCGCCGCACATGAGGTGCACGGCGGAAGCTTGCACGACGTCATCGATCCTAAACCATTTTAGGCCCTCCGTGCCGAGCATGTAGAACGCGCTCGCCACCGCCCCGATGATGAACGCCCCTTCCGGTTGCACCAACGAACCGCTAGCGCTAATGGCCACCAAACCAGAGAGAATTCCGTTGTTGAGGTGTCCGCTGTCGACCTTTTTGTAGGCGATCTTCAGCCACAGGCCCACGGAAAGCACGCTTGCGGCTGCCGAAATTGTAGTGTTCACCATAGCCGCGGCTACCAAGTGGCTCCTCCCGTTCGACACTGATCCCACGGAGCCCCCGTTGAAACCGTACCAGCCGACCCAGAGTATCAAGACGCCCAAGGTTTGCAGGGCGGGGCTTTGCTGCGGCATTCGGTTGGGGATGCCGTTCCGAAACCTTTTCGTCCTCGGCCCCACTATCTTTGCGGCCACCAGCGCACACATACCTGCAACAACACGACCCAGAGAAAACCCGCTGTCGAGTGCAGGGTTGAGACGGCACGCACTATGTGGAAGCAAAGTAGACTTATAACAGTGTTTGACTGGTCCCCCGAGAAGGAGTTCCGTGATTGGGGACCAGGAAATAAAAACTCCTACCCACACGGAGCAAGCAAGCAAGACAGAGAGAAAACTGGTACAAAGTGTAGCGCAATACGCCAACCTCCCCAAGGAGGCTGAAACGACACAACGTCACGAACGAAATCACCGCTACTTCGAAATCACGAAATCACGCACCTCCAGTCATGTGAACAACTCCGGCGCCGGCAAAGTCTGTAGCCCCGCAACCCAGCAGTAGCCCTCGAGACTCCTCCCTGCACAGCTGGTAGTCAACTGCGGTCGTGGTGTCTTCGCAGCGGCGAGGGCTCGCCCAGCCTCCTTCGCTCCAAACCCAGTGCACAACCTAGCAGGATTGTAGGTGGACAACATAAGTTCACGGAATGAATAACGACTTGCAGCTCCAACAAAACTCGTGTGAAGAACGTTCTTGCTTGGGCGATGCAACGGCAGTAGAGCGATCTGTTTCTTCCGTGTGGGAGCGAAATAAGTAGTACGTGTTTCCGAGCTCGAACCGTGAACATAAGCCATGCATTCAGGCAGGAATGCGATGCTGCACCCCCGGCCGGCCACCCCCGAGTTACTCGACGAATACGGCTACAGCAGTAAGGCATTGGCAATTCTTGACACACCTTAATTTACCTCCTTCAGGCCCTGTGAGGGTACACGAATCAAGTCACAGATAGATTCAGGCCAGTGAGGAGGGAGACTGAAACACAGATCGGCTACCCCGCGCTCTCACCACAGGGTATATCAAGAAGGTGATCAGGACGGAGAGCTGGACGTAGGCGGCGATTTTTATCCGTTCTGCAACCGCACCCGACACCACGGTTGCCGCCGTCGCTGCAAATGTAATACGCAGCAACACCGAAGGTGGTGTTGACAATGACAGCGTCAGACAACGGAGCAACATAGAGTCAAGAGGAACAAGACGCATGTGGCGTCTACACGACCGCCGCGGTAGTTCACGGCGCACAACAAGAACCCAACAGCAGTACAACACTGAAGAACGACAACAGCAGGATCCCAATGGCACGGGCGGCGTACTTCAAATGGGGTGCGAGAGTAGCGGCCTCTTGCAACAACGTAGGTGGTGCGACAGTTTCTGCAGCTGGTGCGGGGGCGGTTACTACTGGATATTAGCAACACTAAAAATGCGCTGCGCGCCGTGGTGGAGGAGAAACGAGATACGCACCGGCAAAAGCCCACTCGAAAAACCACTGCGCGATTTCTGCTCCCTGGCCATCCTCTTGATGCGTGGCATTGCCGCTGAAAGCGAAACTGTCTGTGCCAATGAAGCCCCCAACGTCGTTGCCGTAAGCAAACCCATGCCCCAGGGTCCACCAGCAAATTGCACTGTTACGGGGAGTTGAAAGCAGTGGCAAGGTGTTGCGTGCCGACAGATGAATCGATACGCGACGACTACTTGTGGACGAACAAACACGTGGCGAATCAACAGGCTAGACTGCTGGTAGCCAATATCATCATGCACACCGCACTCAGACTTATCTCTTCAGCAAAAACAACTTCACCATTGACAAATTTAGTCTATGGAGCAGCGACACCGGTTTTCCCAAAAAAAGACGAACAATACCAGTAGTATTTTCGAAATCGTCTTGCTTGTGGATAGTCTGCTTCGCGAACGACTCTGAACCACCTGTTCGATCTTCGAGAAACGCTACGGCTGTCATCACCTACCTGTTTTGGGAGGGCCTAGGTTTGATGTAGGTCGCAAGATTCGCAAAATTTCGCACAAGGCTTCCCCCGATATGCACTTTCCTCCAAATCTTGCGGAGAAACTGCGAGTCTTGGACAAGATCCGAACCTTGACCCCGCCACAACAGATAATATGGTGAAGCTGCAACCTTGTTGCAAGACAGAACGTGTAGTTCGGAATCGTTCGCGAGGCAGGCTGCCAAAAGGTCGAAAACGAAACCCAGCCAAGGCGAAGTACTGCAAACAACGACGTGCTGAGTTCTTCCGAGACACGCAAACATTGCACGTGTTGCGCCCTACTCACCCCAATGCAGCATCTGTCAGGTTCTTGATCAGGACGGCCTGGCCAAAACATGTTACACAGAGAGAGCGCGTGAGAGAGTTTTTGGAGCAAGTCTCCGACGTTTGTGCACCTTCCGGAGGACTTTCCCAACCCCACAGGATCAGAGGCGACTTGACACCGCAAGACGCAGCAATCTTACAAATCGTTTTCATTTTAGGTTGAACCCTAATCCAAAACACTACCGATTGATGTAAGGTCAGTGCACCGTGTACAGGGGGTAAGTTGCGTGCCCCGGATACGTGCCAGGACCAGCCGGTATGATTGTGGTCGGACATGGAGAACACCAGTTCCCACCAGTTTCGATCAAGTGGTGTAAGCACTGCTGGAATCTGCAGGAACATACGTCATGCGGTATTGAGGGTGGCGGGGGTACCATCTTCGTTCGCGTCGGCTTTGGCGCACGCCTGCTGACTCTTTCGTCGACGATAATTGACAATTGGTCCGACGGATCTTTTCACGCTTGGCATACCCTCAGCACACGAAATCCGCTCAAAGACCACATCACAACAGCGTGCTCCCTCCGTGGAGGTCGGATCGCCACGAAACCTTGAAGGCTGTACGCACCAAACTTGTAGTTGAAGCCTATCATGTGACAGCTGTGGGATCTGTGCGGAGATTAATCCGCGACTGTAGACGGAAATAGGGTTCATCCGTGCGCTCAAATCTCCACCCAGATTCTTGCTTAAGCTCAAAATGGATTGACACATATTTCTCGGCCCACCTAGACTCCACAGCAATCACAACAGGTGTCAAAGACGCCTACAGACGTGGTGCGTACCGCCTTTAAGATTTCGTGGCGATCAGACCACCAGGGAGTGAGCACGCTAGCTAGTGATGTGGTGAGAGGTCTACCTTTAAGAGATTTCGTGCATGCATACGAAATGTGAAACAATCCGTCGGGCCAATTCTCGTTGACCGTACGAGTCAGCAGGCCGGTCGCCCCGGTGGTCTAGTTGGTATCCTCGAAACCTTCTAGAGGTCACGTCAGGGGTTCGAATCCCGGCGTAAGCGAGCTTTTGTTGCATAACGAGTTTTTCTCCCGCTTCCGATTCTGGCCTAGTGGATAGCGCTTGTTGGTGTGTACAAAGAGGGAAGAGAGTGCTGAACTTGTCTTGCATTAAAAATCGAAGGCAACGTACCGCAGGCGGGGAAGGTAGAGAGGGGCTCTTCTGTGTGACCACGGGTAGGAGTAAAACGGCACTAGTGCTGTGAGCGCTGATTTGAAGTGAAGACAAGAAAAAATAAAGAGAACGGACGGTCCGCTGGACATGCCGATGTCGGGTATCCAGCGTGATTAAAGTTACCTGGTCGCCAATACGCAGTCTCTTCAGACGGAATTGCAGGGGTGACCACCAAACAAACCCCACAGTAAAACCAATTACTTGCGCGGAACAGCAAATACCTAGAAGGAAGAAACTATCACGTGAGTATCACAAATAGTATCCATATGCATAGTACAATGGGTGGAGCCTTTGCACGGAAACATCATCCTAACGAACGCCAATATGGAACCCTCAACTCTGGGTGAGCGGAGAGTCCGGAGTATAGTGGCTTTGACCTACCACCAGAGGCTGGCTATTTCCTTCGGTGCCATGTTGCGAGGAGTGCCAAGTGACCGAGCGAGCTCGGTCAAGCTGCACAGCTGAAGAGGTGCGGAGAGTGGTCGAGCCTTCGTGCTTCGTGGACTCATTTTGCCAGCCTCCGAAAGATTCTTCAAACATTCGCGTCGCTTGGGAATCAGGAAAGTACCGAACCCTTGGGGCATGATGACATATCACGGATCCCTCAGGTCCTACTCTTCCTTCTTAGGTCAAATGTATCTGTGCTTCCTGATCTCCACATCCCGACCTCCATAGCAATGCGAGAAATTAAGCCTACATCATCACGGCGAATAGCCAAAAAGATCGTCAACTTCAATGGGCTGAACACACACCCGAGGGGAAAACCTAACACTCAACATGGACCTCAGTAGTCCTTCTGTGTTTGTATTTATTTTTCCTAAAAGCCCTTCGGCACGGCGTCGCCAGAATATAACGACCCATTTTTGTCCAACATGTCTGCAAAGCGTTACTGACTGCAGTTTCCCAAGGTCTCGTTTTCTGCTTCAGTTTGTGGTTTTTCTGCTAGAAAAAGAAGCATGAAGCGACTCGCAGCAGCATTCCTACCGCAACAGCTGCCGCCGCTCTCGGTGCTGCCGTGTCACATGTTTCAACACAAACCTTGGTGTTCTTGGGAGAGATGGAGCCCACCTCCAGCATGCTGAATCCCACTTGCATCACTGAGGCGTCAGTTACCGCGTCGCCGAGGCGCCAACGCATCATTCGACAGCAGGGTGGTCCAATTGCAAGCACGCGGTTACATGGGGAGGTGGTTGCCACATGCAGAGCAGTCAGCGCCTTGACGGAAGCAATAGGAAGGCTAGCAATGCACAGCACGCTGCCTACAAGTGATGTGTGGTGTCCTATGGTCTCACCTCCGAGTGATGGACAGCACTAGACAGCAGTCTACCGCCGGACACGGCGCATGTACTGCATTCCGTCTTCGACGAAAGTTTCCCTCTCATCCCACCGTCCGCCGTAGACTATGCACAGCAAGGCGGAGTCTTACGGCGTGACTATTTTGGAGATCTTTTTTTTGCTCTCGGTCGGGGGGGAGTGGCCTGCACGGCAAAAAATTTTAAGATCCAAACGACCGTCTTACGGTTCCTCGAGGTATTTTTTTTGCTCAAGGGAAAAAAGAAGCTGATTCATGTTCTCGTGAGTCACAACATGCTTCAGTACACGGTTTTGGCTCGTGCGCGACCAACAAGACACCGAGCGCCCTGTTTATGGGTGGCCTGCAGAGGGCATGTGTATCATCGCACGCCAGTGGCTGCAGTTTGTGGATGTCGTCCGCCAAAGGCCTTTCTCTGATGGCATGCGTTGTACACTGATCACACTAGACTCGGAGCAAGCGGCAGAAAAAAAAGCAACGTCAGAAAAGGCAAAACCGAACCACACCTCAATTTACGTTTGCAGGCCGTGTGCAATCAAAAGTGAGCAATACGCTCTGCTTTTGGGACGCGAGCAGAGGGTATGTGTATGACCACACGCCACTGGCTGCTGTTTGTGGATGTCGTCGGCCAAAGGACTCTCTCTGGCATGCGTTTTTGACTGGTCGCGGGTGACACGCGGAGCAAACACGCGGCGGAACAAGAAACAATACCAAAAAGTCAACACCGCAACACACTTTGGTTTACGTTTGCAGGCCGTGTGCAATCAAAACTGGACAATACGCTCTGTATCTGGTACGAAAGCAGAGGGTGTGAGTATGACAACACGCCATTGGCTGCAGTTTGTGGATGTCGACGGCTGAAGGCCTCTCTCTGGCATGCGTTTTGAACTGGTCACACATGCAGCCGGCGCAAAAACGGCTCTTTTCGGCCCAAAGGCAAGAACGTCAGCAGAGCAATGTCGCAGGGTTGACGTTTTCGGCTCGTGTGCGGCCAACACGACGCAGAACGCCCTGAATTTTAGATACCTCCAGAGGGTTTGTGCATGGCCTCATGATACTGGCCACTGTTTGGCCAGCAGACGGTGTAGTTCCTCGTTCTGGCACAATCGGGGTGTGACCAGGGGGTACCCCCCCCCATTTCTAACAGCGATGTTCCAACAGGATCGATGTTGGAAAATGGGCCAATTTTCTAACAGGACGGCCGGAATCGCTGTTGGACACTGCGCTGTTGGATTTTGGGCTGTTGGAACATGCCATTTTCCTACCCGTTAGACGCCCAAATTATTTTTTGGGGTCAGCAAAAGGACCACCCCCTCACACCCAATCCGAAAATAATCACACCGCAAGACTCAGCCTAAACAAAAACAACTAACTTTCCCGCAAACCAGACATGACAAAAAGCACGTCGCCACTACGGACAACCGCCGCTCCGCATAAGCCCAGAGCAACAGCAGTAGGGAATCATACGTATGTGATCAAAAGTACGCACAGTTGGCTAAACACACCATCTCGGGACCGAAGAGAAAGAGAACTGGCGAAGCGGCGGTGGGGGGAAAAAACGGCGACCGGGCACTGCTGTAGAAGCGAGTAGGGCGGCCGAGGCAGCGCTTGTGGCGAACTATGTACCCGGCTGATCTTGTTGCGCCCTGTTTCCCTCCCTGCCGTATGCTATACTCCTTTATGTATATCCTTTTTATTGCCTTCGGCCTCTGTGCTGTGTTTCTTTTTTTCATGACCTCCCTGCCTACTCTGCTGTGTTGGGTACCTTGATCTCGCTTTGCTGTTGCCTTTGTTTTTGTACGTCTGGCTGTCTGCCCATCTGCCGCCTCTTTGCCCTGTTTGCTCCGTTACTCCCATGCCCTGGTGCGCAGTGCCTGGTGCTGGTACGTTACCCTTGGATTTTTTCTTTCGGCGGGTGTAGGAAGCGTCCTCCTTTATTTTTCTGTTATTTTTGTTTTGTTTTATTTTGATCGGTGTCCGAGGGCTCTTTCCTCGAACGGTCGGTGCGATACCTGTTCTTTTCTGTTTTCTTTCTCCGAGTGATTTGTACCCTATTTTTGTTTTTTTTGTTTCCTCGCGGCGTCGTATGTGCCGGGTTTTGAGACCACGGGCTCCCCATTTTTTGTGGACAAGATAGAGCTAATGTGCGAAACAACAACAACAACAACAACAACAACAACAACCAGCTGTAAGGTTGAAGTTGCCGCTCTCTTGTTGGTTTGGTTTGTGGGTAGACTCTTAGACTACACTGCTTGCGGACCGGCAGCACGATCACGGGTCTAAGGAGGTTGGGAGACATGAAGGTGACGAGGATGACGAATAAAGAAAACGGTGCGAAGCCAGGCGCAGCAGTGCCGTGTCTCTACCAAGAGACATATTCATCTCATGTTATCGCTTTTCTCGTTGCAGGCTCTCTGCCAGAATACCAGCCTTACATGAACAACCCAGATAACATTCCTCAAGAGAACTGATGTTTGCACTACACGTTTTGCCACTCACAAAACACGAGAATGCCACACCAGATGATCCAGGCTGTGTCCAAGTCTTGGGCACTCGCAAGCCCGTCCGTGAGGCTTTCCAGGTACGCGAGACGGTCCTCGAGCTCAGCGGCAGTCGACATGGTGAAGCGGGATGTTGTGTTGTGGTTGTGGGAGATTCGACAGCAGGTTCCGAAGTTCAAGGCAACGTCAGGCCCCCGCGAGATAAATGCTGTTCGGCCGGGGGGCGCGTTATCGGCCCGCCTGCCTGACTCGGTCCTTACTGAGAGGGGTCGGGGGGGCTTTCCTCCTCTCGCACCCTCGCTGAAGAGAAGAGCGGAATTCCGGATTGGTGTCCACTACGGGTTGGTGTGTCGACGGCAGATGGGATAGAGAGACGTGGAGAGAGAACGTAAACATACCTAGAATGGGTCCCCCATCTTCCACACGACCGACGAACAGACGGAGTCACAGACGCCCGCGCCACGTGCAATTTCAAAGATTATAGATTCAAAGAAGAGGTTCTAAATTCTAAAAGAGAGGTTCTCTAATCCACCGGCATGACCAGTGACAGAGCATGTCCGCGAGAGTTTCAAATTTGATTTCACAACTTTACCGCGTGTTGGCGGATGCCCTACCTGTGTTTCTAAGCGTTCGCCGACAACACTACTTGTGTTTCTACGGTTCCTCGAGCAGCTTACAGCGAAATTTCACCCTTTTGTCCGTTGTCTAGTTTTGGGGGGGCGGGTTTTGAATCGTGAATGCATGATGATATCTGATGATCATGATTGCGCCGGGCCGGCTTGCCGACTTGCCGGCTTGATGGCTTGCCGAGTTGGCTAGAAAAGGTGTAGAAAGGTTCTCGAGGCGTACTCGTCCGGTTCTCGCGCAGGGCTCTCCTCTCCGCTCCCCCGCTTGCTTGTTCCCTTGCTCCTTCCTCTCTCTCACCTGCTGTATTGGGTGTGTGTGCCTGTTTACGCACATGTATCAGAGCCGTGCGTTGCTGATCTCGGAAGGATAATGGCTATGGCAGGATCTGCACCAGAAGAGTACGTGAAGACCCGCGATGGCGACATTGTCTTCAAGAAAGCCCACGTCCACGGCTTGCACAATCTATTTCTCATGGGAAGGGTAAGACATAAACTCGATTCGATTCGACGTTTGCATGTATACACCTCGTTACCACACAGGCGTTCGTTATCTTTTTACCATGAGCTGCAAATGACAGCCTACTGCTGTAGATATTGCTGTACCACCCTCCACTGCTACCAAGTTTACCAGCAGTTTGGGCCCGCAATGTTGCCCTTCAACAGGCTTGATCTCGGTCAGTATCTGGCCATCGGACCATCGTACACTGCTGTGTGCGTTGTGTGTTTTCGTCCTTTTTATTATGGCGACAGTCTCCCCGTTTTTCGTGGTGAGACGTGTACTACACTTTTCAGCGTATGTAGAGCGCTACACTCTTCAGTGTATTTTTTCGTACAACTACATCCATCCAGGGTCACACAGGAGGGGGTAAACACCAGGGCTTTTTTCATCTTTTATTTCTTTAGATGCCCCACCTTCCTCCTGCGGTGCGTGCTGCATTTTATTTTTATCGCGAGAAGGGTCCAGCAGTCCCTTTCCCTCGTCAACGGTGCTTACGTCGAAGTTTGGTACTCACGAGAACTTTATAGCTATGTTTCGCTTTCACCCGCACATTTCGTAAATTTTTCACCTGGAGATTCGAACTCACGATCTCTGCGACCAGCGGATTACGAGGATACCACTAGACCACCGGGGCGACCGGAAGAGTGAATGAAGCGTGTTTCAGGGCCATCATGGGACCTACGCATATCATGAGACCGAAGCGGTGGGGATACATAGCGTGTCCACGCCACCGGTGGGGCATCAAGCCTTGTTCACCCTCACCACCACCGAGAAGAAACACGATCAACGAAGGAAAAGAAGCCGTATAGTCTACTGTGTTCTTACATAAGTAACGGCGGAAGCGATCATCGCACAGCACAGCGGTGGAAGCGGGGGGAAACAGCGTAGGGAGGGGACAACCCACAAAGATCAAAGGTCCCTCCGCCCCAAACCCATGAAACATATACTGGTACGCCTTGTTGCACATGGTTTGCGTGCACCACCTTGTAGCAGCGTACCCCATCGCACCCGCGCGCCCGCTCATTTGAGACAAAACTGGAGTACATATGTGTCTACCAAAACGACTATTCTGCTGCATGGATCTGATGTGGTATTGCGGAGGCGTGTTGACCATCTGTGTGTGGCACATTGCAATCACTCTGTCTTGTTCATCTATCTAACCTACACTGCACTACATCGAATTGCTTGCTCTTGGTACTACACAAACATGCGCGCGACGACATCGCGGTTGAGTGCATTGGTCGCTCAAACACCCACGAAGGCTGCCGCGCATAGACCCCCCTTTAATTACGGATGGTTTCGTTCCCAATCCGATTTTTGTCTGCGTTGACGAAATTTGATCTGCTCGTCATCAGAGCATCATCATGCCAGGCGTAATCATCCGCGGAGAACTACAGGAGATCCGAATAGGTCGGTACTGCGTCGTTGGCGAAGGCACCGTCATCCGACCAGCTTACAGGTAAGCAGGAATACGTGTACCCTGGCTCGTTGCTAAGTAGGGCTTTTCGATGGAGGAGCTCTTCCAACAGGGTGGCGACTTGATCAAATACGTCCGGTTGTCACGGCACAATGCGCCGCCAGCAGGTCAGCTACTCCCCGTGAGGGTAGCTTGATCTACTGCTGTCTAGGGCGGGCCCCGCACGGTCCTCTGATCAACACGATGCGCTTGCCAGTTCATTACCCTGAACCATTTACAATGGGTTGCTGGATTATCTTCCAGCAGCACGAGCTGGGTTGGGATGGCCGCATGCCTTACTGATCGTGTAGGGTGTTCGCGCTTGCTTGCTTCCACCAACGGTGCATTTCCGAGCTACGTGATCCCTTGCACGTTTGCGTCGTTTGTTAACTGTTGGCGCCCGATGTGTGTTCCCCCCTCCGGTCGAGAACCCGCTCATAACTTCATTTTCCGAAGACTGTGAATCAAAAAACGTGTTGGTTCTCTTGCCGACAGGATTGAACAAGAGGAGTCTAACCTCAAGTGTCGCTTCACCCCGCTATCTGTGGGTAGCCACACTCATATCGGCAAGTCCTGCGTCATAGAATCTGCTGGCATTGGGTGCAACGTACGGATCGAGGATGGATGCGTTTTGGTGAGGGTAGAAAGTTGGTGTACCCCCTTTTCCTTTATACAGGTGCAACCCTACTGTTGAGTACAAAGCTTGAATCATGATGCTCGCTGCAATGCCAGTTTTGATGGATAGAAAGCCACGACACTTCTGCTGATCAGAGTCGGAAACGGCATGAATCTGGCCGTTTTTTGCGCGACACGTGCTTGCTGAAAAGGTCTTCTGAGCATTATGTGGTGCTGGTCGTGTGTTTGGGCAGGCGGTGCTATTTTTATGGCAGGTCGAGGGGGTGTTACCCACGATTACTTAGCTTGATGCTCACGGTTCTCTGATGCCCCCAACGCTCGAGCGCTTTCATGAAAATTCGGTCCGAGATATTTGTTGTCCCTGTTCGCCCGTTCTCAAACTATGCAACAGCAGCCAAGGTGGCAATTGTTTTCTTGGCTACAGTACACAGCAGTGCTGCAGTACGGGTGCATGACCGAGGCGGTGCCCTCCTAACATCATGTGGCCGCGCCGCGCCGCCTTTGCCCGTGCCGTTTCCGTTCCCGGCAGGGACGGAATAGCTTTGTTCGGGACAACTGCCATCTGTTGCCGGGGACGGTTGTTCCTGAAGGGGCCGTGGTCCCCCCCTTTACTGTGGTGAGAGAAATTGCAGCTTTCCCCGGCTATCTTCATGTTGTGGAAGTGATCCCGTGTCCCATACCTCAACCACGGTCCCACATCTTCCTGTGCTTTCCTCCACGCCATACCTTCCATGGCGCGCCCCCACACGCGTATGCATGCACGTCCTTGCTGTTCAGGCTCAAAACGTTCCTCCTCGTTGCCTATCTCTCCCCCTCGCCCTTTGTGCGTCGGTCGACCCCAATTGCCCTAGCTCCAGGGCTGCCCGGCGAGGATGGTGTCAGTACTACATGAGAGCACGCCGTCGGTGTGGACCGAGGACGCCGTGAGCTTCTACGAAACTTTCGAGCCGAGCGCTGTTATAACACTCAAATGACCCTTGCCTGTGGCCCGCTTTTCCCCCAAGCTATTTTGAACGCGCGCCCACATTGTCAATTCCAGCTCTTTCTCCGTGGCTATACATGTGTGTGACGGTGACGCTGTTGCAGTGCGAGCTCTGTATACGGCCCTGTTGTTTGATCTGTAGCCTCCATGCCGATGCCTGTTTGCGAACACGTCGAACAGTTGTTTATGTTCGCCGTAGTATCACAATCTCTGCCTGGAAACTTGCCCGGTCTGTTCAGTGTCCACCGCACTTCATGTGGCTATGGATTTTGTTTCACGGGAAGCGAGTTCACTCTGTGCGTAGATCGTTCTTCTGGTGAACTCCTGCCCAATGCCATCTCATGTTTTTGGATATTCCCGAGAGATCGATTCTAACTCGGTTGTCGGTAATTTAGCTGTAGCTGTACTGATGACCAAACCCAAAATATCAGACACCTGCTGCGCCTGAAGATGGCTCTAAAATTTCTGCCGCCGTTGCTGCACACATGCCACTGCAGTAAGGAGAATGGACTAGGCCCATAGACCGCCAGCTTCCTCTACCAAGCATTCCCCCCATCATACTTTTTGGTCGGTGAGCCTCTTGAGTGCTGCATGGTTGAGACGTGCTCCTTTCTCGGGGAAATGCGTAAGCATTCCTGCGCAAATTCGTTTTACAGCTGCCTTTCCTTTCCAGGACGTCTACTTCGAGCCAGATAGTCGTTCTAGGCGAACGATGTATATACAACATTGTCGGGTACGTTAAGTTTAAATCAACACTCCAAACACACAACACCAGCCACGCAAGCTCTGACCGATGTTGATCGAACACGCACGCACGCATTTGGACACCGGTCGCAGATGAAGGCAACACAACGGAACATACTTTTCTGGACAACGTAGCTAACTGAATAGGTTCGAGTGTTTCCGCGACCGACTGCTCTCCCTCAAAAATAGACCAACAGAAACAAAGCGAACCACAACTCTGTTGTGTTGCACGTGAGCAACCAAGACTGCTTCTACCCGAGACGCCTCACGACCACTCATTGCCGCGTATTACATCAAAGATCCGCGCCCTCGACGCCGTATACTGATGACGTGTTTCAGGCTCTTGCACTACTCCACCCAGATCCGTCGAGTGGCAGCACCTCTCCCTGTCTTCCTACACCTCTCCCTTAACGATGCAAGACTCTATGAGCCAGCAATTACTCCGGGCGTCCAGTGTGAGGTAGACGCTCACGGAGTGCCAAGCGCCAGTCATTCTGCCGAGAGATTAGCGCCAATGACAACTGTGTTAGTCTGCGCGAATGTTCTCCTGCTAATGGTGGCTACATGATCCTAGGTGGCGAGCCTCGCCAGGCGTGACCGTCTCACGATGAGGTAAACAAATGTAATATTGGCTGGCCAGCATTCAGCGCAACGAGCGAGAGCACGAGAATGGTGGTCTTGTGTAAAAATGTGCAAGGACTCACGTGTCTTTGAGCTTGACAGGCTGGAAGGCCTTGTTTTGCTTAGCCCCTCCCGACAGCGTCAGCGGTCTGAAGCAAAATGGGCCACGAGCAGTCACAAGAGGTACACATGGGGAACCGAGGATGAACACACGTGCAAGGGTGGTTGAGGGGTGGTTTCATATTACGAGACATGCGAAGCGCAATGTTACACACACAAGAATGACGTGGCACGATGTAGAAACGCGCTTGGTGCAGAGAAGGAGCATAAGGCGCTCATGCAGAGGTGCCAGCACCAGGGGTACGCCGTAAGCTTGATTCTTCCCTACGAACAACTTTCGAAGACCCACCTCGGGAATGCCATGGCATTCCAGTGCATGAAGGCACGGTTCCGATTCTCCGCCAGATATCGGGCCACGCCCGACATTTCGACCCCGTGCATCGCGCTAGACGGGGCAAGGAATCTGATGAAAACCTGCAAAACGATTATTTAGCGCGTTTCTGTCAGCACCGGATCGCGGCGAGACGACCTTGGCTCGTCTTGAGGTCGACGAGGAGTTACATGGGCATGGAATAGCCAACCCTCGTTTGCCAGAAAATCACTTAAAGCTGAAGCACTACAGGAGCAATGTGGTCCCGACGTGTGGCCGGTAGCCCTGTAAGGCCGGTGAAAATTGCGTGACATGGATGGAAGATTCAAGCTGTTTCATACTCTGAATAGTGCCGGGTGCCCGGTACAAGGCCGACCAAATGACTTGGTACTAGCTGTACGGCCTAATACGGGGACCATTACGGCGGTATTGAGTTACAGAGGTGCCTCGATTGCGAAACTTGGTCGCTGCGAGGTTTCCAGGAGCGATGAGAAACGCCATCACCGACCTCTAGATCGTTGCACTACCGACGTTTGAAGTTCAACCTCACCTCGACGCCGTGGTTGTGGTAGGGTTGGTCGTTGTTCTTGAGGGCCTCGAGAACAGAAGTCACCACCTGCAAACGAGAAAAATCAACAAGGGATCTTCATGAAAAATTTCACTCTCACTCGACAGAGGTAGGTAGGTGACTTGGTCCGCTCACTGCCGAATTCAGGGAGTGATTTCGGCATAGTGTCAGGGAATGACCCTCAAATAACCTCCAGCTTCGTAGGTAAGTGCGTCCGGACATTTCCACGATACTGAGTATCGACATGTCCTCAAGTTGAGGCCCCACATGAAGAGTATTCGTCAAGTCCTTTTTTGTACGGCAAGTACCTGGACAACTAACGAGACATGAGTGGCAAGCAAGTGCCTTGTGACGTGGTTTTCTTGAAGCGATGCGCCCGACCAAATAGCCGAAATAGCAAAGGTCCGTCCTGTGTCATTCTGCCGGCACTACACGCAAGTAAGTGCAAGTGTAGTACATGTCACAGGTGGCAAAGTGTGGGATACACAGCATTGTACGTTCTCGAGACACATCACGGCACAAAGAAAAGCAGCCGGTCACGGCATGCCCTGCGGTCATAGACACTGCTCGCAGCGGAGCGGCAAATATGCTGGTACAAAACATCTACCCAACGACGTACATGATTGGGGTAGTCTTGCACCGGGCGACACACGGTGCGAAACAGCAGTACGCTACAGAAGTGCGGAAGATACCATGATCCCACGTGTGCACACACTCCTTACCTCCCTTGGCGTGAGCTCCGGGGACGGCAAGAACGTAGCCGAGCTCGTCACCCCAGGCATCTGCTCAAGACCCGCATCGATGATCTTCTTCGCCTCCGCCTCCTTCGTAATATTCCGTTTCTCCAGCTCCAGCCCCAGGTCCTGGGTATAGAGAGCACCGTTATGCCATGGCCCATGCGGACCATCCACCCCGCCATGTACACACGTATGCAAATAACCGTCGATATACTGAGATACTATCGGCGGCCGCTCGTGCATCGACACCGTAAGCTTGCAATACCAAAGCGGGCCACCCAGCGCGTCATGAAATTTGATGGCAAATAACGGTCGATATATAACTGAAACACAATCGGTACCGCATGCGGACAGAGAATCGGGTTTCGCATGCCAAAGCTAATCGGACCGCATGCACAAATTACCTTAAAGGACTGAACACAGCAAAATCGCCACAAACACTGAGGTCGACTCCTGCGTCATTGCGAGTTAAAATTTCCGCTGGAAAAGAATACCTGGTGGCACCGTGGAACCACAGATCCACGGCCGGATTCCTACCGAACCGTGTCCTTATTTGCACTGCAAAACTGGAGCAGATGGCAACTTGTCGCTGAAGTCACACTAGCCTCGCGAGTGTGCCATCGAACAAGACGTGGCAACAAACCAACCTTGAGGCTCCGTCAGCGTTCGAGCCAATCGCTCGGCCTAGCATGTGCCAGGTTCTACGTCTTTCCCGCAAGAGTCAAGCACAGCGAAGAAGTATGTTCATCGCGCTCTCCAGGTCATCGAGGCTTGTCGGAGGTTTGCGATCGGACACGGAACGGCAAAGGTACGGGGATTGGAATGCGCGACTGCTGTTGCCCTTTCGTGGGTCCCGAGAAGGGAGGGGCGTGTACCTGCTCGAAACCAAAGTCGCGCCGTGCCCTAAGCTCGTCGTAGATTGCCTTGTCGATTTCGCTGCCGCTATCTTCGTCTTCGGCCGCTTCTTGGCCATCTTGCGGTTGTCCCTGCGCAGTCTTGCCCAAGCGTGCCGCGACCTGTTAAAAAAACGCCAAGCCAAGCCGGATTCCAAGGGACGCTCGCCTTCACTGGATCTTTGCAGCGGCGCAAGAGATGATCGTGAGAGCAGAGACGGTGCATAATCCCGGTTCGAGACGCCACCCAGCTGACAAATAATACAAGTACCACATGAAGAAAACAAAAACACGGGTAAAGAAAACGATCACTGGTCACAGCACAGCAGTCGCAGCATCCAACTAAAACCATCCAGCAGGCACGTAAGCCTGAAATCGTCATCGTCAATGCCTCCCTACCTCGCTGTAAAACCCTTTGGTTAGCTCAAGCGTATCGTCTTCCTCCTCCGCGCCACCCCGTGCCTCCTTTGCTCTTAGGGAAAAGCCCGGTCCGCCTGACCGACGCCGAATGAGGCTGGCATGCCTACCAGATCTCCGGCTCGCCCTTTTGTGCATATAATCGGTGCTGGACAGTGTCTGCAGTGAACATCCCCTCCTGATGCGGAGAATGCGGGCATCAAAACACATCAGTAAACGGCAGAGAGTTGCATCAGAATGGCAAATCAAAGGCTAACATTGCCCATGAATGACTGCTCTGTATCTAGCTGTATTGCACTGTTGGAAGGTGTAACACAAACCGCTCAAGAACCTCTTATGTAACTCTGCTCATGGCTTTCGAGTGTCCCTATTAGCTGACTAACACCCGCAGCCGCTTTGAGTGCGGGGCATATGTTGCCTTCTACATCGTGAAGAGAGCAGGTGGAGCAGAGGAAGTTCAGCAATCTTTCGTTCCAACAAAAATGAAGTTGTGTGTGTGAATCATGAAGTTGAGTTGATAAACCAGAGACCAGAGACCCTCACCCTCCCGCTGCACGTCAACTTATACCTGAAACATGGCGATACGGCGATGAACCCATGACTCCATTGAATGCAGCAGCAGAGGAGGAGCAGCACATGCAAACCACCAGCAGCAAGATTTCCTTGTGGTGCCATGATCGTACACGCTTGCTTCAAAGTGGCACACGCTCTGAGGCTCTTTTGCACGCGTGGACAAGAGAGACGCCGGAGCACGCCACCGAGTTGCCTCCACCCACAGGGTGTCCAGTACTCTCTCGCTCCTTTACCCTCTCTCCCTCTCCTTCTCCTGATACGGCGGTACGACAGCAGTGCTTCCAATATAATTGCATTGAACGTGCAGCGCTGCAACCACCGTGACAAGGGGGCTCCGCGAATTAACGTATATGATGTGGGGTCCCTAACTCTGGGTAAACAGTCAGCAGCAGCAGCGCCAGTGCAGCTCTCCACTCTTGTCTCACCAACACAGCAACCTATCCACCGTTGTAGGCCTCCACAAGCCATGGCGAGCGTTCGCCAAAAGAAGAAAGGAATCCGTGCTGCTTCGAGCCCCCCTGTTGAGTCATCTCTGCCTAGACCCAATGTGGCGCCGCCTCCCGCAGGCCTTGCTGCTGCACGCGAAAGGGCACGTTCTCCGACCTCCTCCGCAGCAGTGGCCGCTCCGCCCGCGGCTCCAGCTCGCACCGCAGTGGTGCAATCAGCGAGGACCAAAGGCAAACGCTCACCCTCGGGAGCTACGTCCTCATCGAGCTCTCCAACCCACATGAAAGGGGGAGCCCCAGGGACTAGGTATGATGATGTCGCAGTCTTGGATCAATAATACAAGTGCAGCACACCATTTTGTCCGCGCTCCGACGCCGGGTTGTTGCAATGTTTTTTGTTCCTGTAGTTGTTGCACGCATAGCCCTGTGTTTGCGACGACGAAAAATGATCCCACGACTCCAAGGGGGGGCGGAGCTGCTACTAGCTTGTGCCCATGGCCAAATGCGTCTTTCGTTCAACATGTGCTGTTCACAAGTTACGTCAAGTGTTCTACAGACTGCAACACCTTTTTGCGCCGAGGTATGCTGCTCTACTGCTGTTGGCATCATCATGGCGAGCAACGTTTGGACATTGCAAGTCAGCCAGAATGTCCTGTTCTACTACTGCTGTAGGAAGTCCAGCGTCTGCGTTGCTTGTGCGTCGTTGTTGTGCACAACCAAGTGTGCAGAAAGGTGGTGGCAGCAGGGTGGTGGTACTCACAGAAAAGGTAACACACATTCTTGAGAGTTATCCCCACAAACTGTTCTTTTCTTTCGTCTTTTCGACATGTCGTTTCCGCGAGCTCCATTCCGCGGGACGTTCCCAGCGTTGGAACTTCCCATATCGTCGTACAATGATGCACACCGGTAGGAATCGAAACGATACCCCTTGACTCAAGACATGTTTTTGGCAGCGTGTGACTGCTGTGGCACCTCGAGCTTGAACGTGGTATGTATCTCGTCGAAGAAGCCTACAGTAGTGAGGCGGCCTACCGCAGTACTGATTGTATGTATGCATAGCGATGTCGCTTTCTCCTTGTACGAGAGGTGATGTGCCACTTTCTCCGTCCTTACACGTTTCCCTTCGGTCGCGACCTCTTTCTGTGCCTCGAACCATCGGCGCCGGTTTGTCTCAAGTTTAAGAGTACGACCAACACACAGCGGATTGATTGTTTTCATTGAAGGTTGACCCCAACAACACCTGGTACCTACGTCGTTACCGCCGCATGAGGGCATCCAGCACCGCCAATATCATGTTTCAAGTTCCGTCTACTCGCCCAGCTTACCCAGCTGTCAACCGCTTTTTCCTGTTTTTTTTTGTCGGTTGCGGATTGCATCGCCAGACCGGTCTCAGAAGGCCAGTGTAATGGAAGGCTGGGTTCAGCAGCAAGAGGAGCAGATAAATCCCTCCGTGAGACCGTTCGCCAAGTGCTGCTCTCCGATGTCGTTCGCATGGACGGTGGCGGCAAAGGGGCGAGGGGGGCAGGCAGCGATGCCTGGAGAGTGATGGTGCTGGATGCCCGGGCAACCCGCGTCATCTCTTCCGTCTTGGGCATGTACGACATCATGGAGGGGCACGTCACAGTCGTCGAAGATTTGCACAAGGTGCTGTTGTGATGGCCGTGTGGGAAAAAGACGCCCACGCGTGGAGTGCCTATCAAGAGCACGTGTTCCATGAATGCCTCATGGTCAGGTTCGCATTGATTTCGATATCTAGTAGAATACCATGCGCCAACCCTAATCTTGCGGCGCACTTCTTGTCAGGCCCGGCAGCCATTTCGAGAGATGGAAGGCGTTTACCTCGTGGCGCCCACGGCGGAATCTGTGGAAGCGATAAAGCGCGACTTCAGTTCCCCGGCGGATGCTCTGTACTCCAAGGTGCACTTGTTCTTTTTGGAGAGGGTGCCGCCGGACCTGCTTCAGAGCATCAAGCAGTGCCCCACCCTCGTATCCCGACTGAAAACCTTCAAGGTGAGAGAGCTAGAGAGCTCCTGTGTGGCGCCCCTCTGAGCGCAATAAGGACACGTGCCTGTGTTGTTTCTGCCCCTTTACTCTCCAATTTCGGTGCTCATAGGTACGCCAAATTACGTAACTCGCATTGGTCATGGCCACGTTCTCAGCGGCAAGCCGCCGCTTGCGCCCCGTTTTTTGTTTGGCTTTGTGGCCTCCCGCTGACGGTTGATTGCTTGCTTCCATGGCAACGCGTTTGTTTTGCGGGTGCAGGAGATCAACATGGACTTCCTCGTGCCCGAGATGCAGTCGTACCACTTGGATATGGGCAGCCTGTCAGGGGCGGGGGAGGTAGAAGCGGCGGCGCACTTTCGAGAGCTGTATGGAGGCAGGGGACAGGCGAGTGCTCTCTCTCTCTCTCTCTCTCTCTCACACACACACACACACACACACACACACACACATACACACACACTCTGTCTGCCTGTCCGTCCCATCTCGCTGTGTGTCCCGCTATTTCTCCCTCTCGCTAAATATCATCTTGCTATGCATACACCTGTGTATGCGCTGTTTCTCATGTCAACGTTGTGGGAGGACTCCCCTTAGACCCATGTAGCCTGATATGCTGCCAGCAGGTGCCGTTTTTGCGGCTTCGCCTTGTCCGGTCGGCCCCTCACCGCGCACACGCAACACGAGATGCCTGCGGCCGGCGCTCTCTGTCCACGCTGAACCAAGCCAAAATATCCCATCTGTGCGTGTGGTGCTTGTCTTGTCTCCCAGGGTCGTGTGATGGCATCGATAGCGCAGAGGCTAGTGACACTGTGTGCAACGTTGGGGGAGTTTCCGCACGTCAGGTTCGCCGCAGATGGCGGGGGGCGAACGGAGGGGGTGGCGACAACGTTCCAGGTAAGTTTTGGTGTTTTGTTCTTGTGTTCGCATGCGTTTCTGCAGTGTTGCTGCCTGGCTGTTCTCCGTTGATACGGCCGATGCGTGGTATGCTCACAGCTGGGGTCTGCCGCAAGGTGTCACGTTGTTCTGTTTGTATTTTGCTTTTATAAAGGCGAGAGGAGGCATTTATGCTGCTCATTCTCGCCGTGACCCTGGCGTTGGGGCGTTGCGTGTTTGCTTATTGCCTCGATCTGCTTATTCTGAATTCCCTCCTACCCAACAGAATGGTCCAAGGTGTGGGTATGGTGTAAACTTCCGACTCCGGGACATAGTACTGAAGGCAACAGGTCCCCGCCCTCCGCAAACAGCCCGAACCTGCGGGGCGTGAAGCATTATGTAGTCGGCCATGCTGTTGCTTCGAGATTCCGAAAGCGTGATTTCACCCGCATTCGTTTTTGGTGGCTACATGTACCTGGAGTGCAGATGGGGCGATAGGGAGTGTTACCCTCCCCACCCCAACTTTGCTACCTTTCGTGTTTGTGTTTGTGGGTCCCCTCCCCCACCCCACTCTCGCCCGGACATTTGTTGGAAAAACAAAGCAAGACACGAACAGTTCTCACCACACTTTGATCGTGTCATGATCTAAGTCGAACGTATTGCTTCATGTTAAATGCGTGTGCAGGCGAACATGGAAGAGCTGGTGTCCAACTCACCGACGTGGACCTTCCGTGGACAGGACAGCAGGTGAGTCTCGTCTCACCTCGCCGTCCAGCTTTGTTACCTTCCACGATTCACGACGATCGTACCGCCTTTGTTTCTCCCTGACCCGACCTTTGAAGTCGCCGACTGCCTGTCTTGGGGCACCAAAGCGAAGGCAAGGGTGGTATTGCTTGCGAGACTCGTGCGTCACGGCGGAGGAACCGTAACTGATTTGGGCACCCGTCCCGACTCTACAACCGCCCGTTGCCGCAAGCGGGATGGACGGCCTCAATCAATCCGGCCATTCTCAAAGGAACGACCTGCGTTTGTAATTTCGAGTTGTTTGTGTGTCTTGTTTTCGCCGACGTACTCACCGCTCCAGCGAAGGCAATTTGGTTGAGTTGTCGACACGGAAATGTTGTTGGCGCCGGCATGTGATGTTTGTTTCTCTCTGTTTTTCGCGCCCAAATCGGCGTCGGGCCTGCACGGCAGAGCCTCGGACGGTGGTCGAGCGACCCTTCTTCTCTTGGACCGTGCGGACGACCCGCTCTCGCCGCTGATGCACGAGTTCACCTACCAGTGTCTCGTCGAAGACCTCCTCGGCATTAAGGTGATGATAGATGATACTGCGCGGGCTCAGGCCGAGCCTCCGCTCAAGGCACGCGGGCAGGATCATCGCAGTTGCCGCGGTTACTATTGTGCCCTCTCGAACCAAAGAAGGGAGCCATTTTGGCAGATAATGGCGGGTTACGATAGTGTGTGCCGCTTGGCGCGGTATGAAATGATCTGTTGGTACGGAATGACCTGCTGGTATGGAATGGGTTGCCGTGAGCTTGTCGTTCGTTCGCAACCCTTCTCGTGCAGCGGTGCTTGGCTATGTAGCAACAACCAGTTGCCAGGGTGCTCCGGAAGCACGTCATGACCATGTTTCCAGCCTGGCTCTGAGATTAGCTCCCGAACTTTTTTCACGAGATGCACTCCCCCCGACAGCGTGGGCGCATTCAGCGTTCCTCTGTACCGGGTGCTTTGCACAACTCTTTTCATCTCCACGGAAGGGTTATGCAGAGGCAGAGGCGTTTGTTCCGCCGCTCTTGCCGTCTGCGTGTCCGACCAATAGCTGCCAACAACAGCAAGTCTGCTCGGTTCCGTTGCCACTGTGCTGTCGAACGATTACTCCGAACATCGTCCCTCTGCTTGGTGATAATCGTCCCTCTGCTTGCGTGTCCGCGCGAGTTTTGATTTCGACGACTGTGTGCCTCTCCTGCCGTGTATCTCGCGTTGTTGGTGGCGTTTCGCTTGAAGGACGGGCGCGTGACCTACACGACAGAGACTGGGAAAGGAAAGCAGAAGAAGGAGGCCCTCTTGACTGATTCCGACGCCTTGTGGGCAGAGTTCCGCCACAAGCACATCGGGAAAGTCCTGACCGACCTAGGTGTGTTGAACCGATGCAGTGATAGCAGGGTGCCAATTTGTGATTGTTTCAAGGTTTGTGACACTTGTGCATTGTGCTATGCATACATACTTTGACGAACCTTCAATTAGTATGCTTTTCGCGAACTTTCGCTGTAACCTTGCGGCACACGCTTGTTGAGTGCAGACTGACAGCTGTTTCTAGCCCTGCCTTTGGGGCTTGCTGATTCGTTGTCGCCCTACGCTGGAAAGCTGTCCAGTGCCTCACAGAATAACCCTGTGGCATGGTCGTGTTGGTTAAGGAACGGGGACGTACCGATAACGACTTGGGCATACCCACCAACATTGCGTTTGTATTCAGCCGAACACTTACAAGTTATCTCTGTCGCACGTCGTTCAATGTACTTCATTGATTGCATTCCGCGATATTCTGTTGCGTGTTTTGTTTTGGCATGGAAAGGTAACCGTTTCCGCGACTTGGTGGCCAGCAATGCCGGAGCCGCGGCGTTGGTCAAGGGCGAAGGTCGACAGGTACAACTGCCACTGAATCATGCCGCCTACTCTGCGTTAAGTTTGCTCCAATCGCGTGGTTTTATGCTGCTGTGCGAGAAACGAAAGTGGTTATTGCCGTGACGGCGCCGTTGGAACGAAAATGATGCCGTTCGTCACCGAATATCTCCCTTCGCGTGTTTTCACATGTGTTGCGCCCACCGCGGTAACCGTGTGGGGTTGCTCTTGACGTGCCATGACCTTCACATGCGTATGTGTGTCTGTTTTTATCGGTCGTGATGCGTGGATTCGTTCGTTCGTTACTTTACAGCACGCTACACCACACCATTGTGCATGGTGTGACGCCACCCCCCCTGGCGTGCCGTTGGTATCGTTGATCGTCGGCGTTGGTTGGGTGCATGTACTTGTTTGTGGCAGATGTCGGTGGAGCAAATGGCTAAGGCGACACGGGGCCTCCCTGAGTTCCAGGAGCTGAGCAAGAAGATGTCGCAGCACGTGCGCCTGTCGCAGGATTGCATGGACAAGGTGCGGATTATTTTGTCAGGTGGTTCAAAACAATGCCGCGAGGATGAAGCAAAGGGCGTCCGTCTACTCTTCGCGATGGGTCTACTCTTCGCGATGGCTTTGAGCTTGAATGTGATGTTGTGAGTTGTCGGCGTGAAAACGGAATCCCCGCAGAAGCGACTCAGGGTTGGCGATGGGGGGTTCACTGTTAGCCCAGTGGCAAGAAGCCGTTACCGTTTTCAAGCATATGGAGTAGTGTTTGGTGTGAAGCTTGTTGCAACCTCTCTTTGAGAGGATGCTCTGCCCCTCACTTACGCTCATTCCTGTGTGCCTGTTTCTTCCTCTGTCTTTTCTGTCTCGCTGCCGGATGCCATGGGTGCGAATCCGCCCTTGTTGTGGCAGTTGGAGAGGAAGAATCTACTTCAGGCTGGGGCGTTGGAGCAAACGATGGCACTGGGCACTGACGAGGTGAGGAGGGGGGTGATGTGCCACGCCTGCCACCAGAAGTGCCCTCTTGCTTGCTCGGATGCTGCATGACGATCCATGTTTGTGGTAGCTCAAAGCACCCCGCAAAACTGTTTTGGTTCAAACGGTTTAGTTCCGTTTTGGCTAGACATTGGCAATTTCTTCTGTTGGTCTGATGGATTTCCTGTTTACACCTCCGCGCTTGAGAAGCGCAGGTCATGCTTCACACGACAGATTCGCCGTGCATGCATTTTTAGATACACTTCGAACATGATAGGTCCCACCCACCACCCTTTGGTACCTTATCGCTACAAGTTATGTTGAAAATTCCGCACCATCGGCAACCCGCCCGACAGTAGTGCAACCGAATTTCTCGATCCGTACCCCCACTTTCTACCGCTTCGTTGACTCTTGTGCTCCAAATGAGAGTTGGTTTGTCAAGAGTGCCCTCTTTGTCTCATTTTGAGGTTTGGTCAACAGGATATCAAATCACCCGTCGCACTTGCTTGTACTGCTTGCTGCTCTGCTGCAGCTTGGCAGGAGTAGAAAGTGCAAGGATATCTTGGAGGGGTGGGTCATCGAAGGCAGCGACGTGCAACCGGGCTTGCTCGAGATCCTCAAGGCCTCGCGGACACCAGAGGTAGAGTACCTTTCCTGGCACTGCTTGTGGATTTTGGGAGCAGGAGTTTGACAGCGAGGCGGTTAAGCGGGGCTTACGTTATTGGGCCATGTCCATGTCCATGTCCTGCCCTGAAATAGACTTGCTGTTGGTACCGTGTTGATAGAAACGGCTTCAATTCAGCTGGCAGCATGCCTGAGGCATTGTGTCGATAGGGTGGCGTACTTGCCCTACATACCGAGCGACTTTGTGGAGCTGGATGCGTGCAAGGTACGACTAAATAGTACGGATTCCCGGTGTGCACACTACCGGATGAAAATATTGACTCTTGGTTGACTTTTTCATTTTTTTTTTTGCTGCAGGAGATGAAGCTCAGACTGGTCGGCATCTTCAACGTTACCCAGACCAAGGCCACTTCCGACGAGAAAGCGAGGGTTGTCAGGTGATTGATTGCCGCACTCAAGCTGTCCGGCGCAATAACAGATACTTCAACCGAAGCGCCCGCCATGTACAGCATCTGCAGCATGAACATTTTGAAACACGGGTTGGTGCGGTGCTCTAGCGCGTGCGCGGTTCCCCTCTTTGTGCTTGCTTGCTTTTCCAGGCCTCATGTGCGAAAGTTCGTCGACGCTCATTATTTACCCCTGTTTCAAATCTGACAACAGTTGTGTATGATTCGGTGTGCGCGCTTGGCACTGCGCATTCGCAGGGCAGCACAGCTAGCCTCGACGTCAGTGCCGACGCTGACCGGCTTGGAAAGACTGGCGGCCGCGGCGGGGGTCGGCGGCGGGGTCGGCGGCTTCTCCGATCCATCCAGCGCCAAGAAAGGCAACAAGTTGTTCAAGTCGCTCGGGTTCGGCGCTTCTAAGCAGGAAGAAACGAACGACTTCACCCACATGAGGTGCGCATGGCATGTACATGTGTGCGTCGCCACCGTATACGTGGTGTATAAAGGCCTCCTGCAAAATAGCGGCTAGTACTCCCGTCGCTTGGGGCATGCTTCCTGGGATTACGGTTTTACGCAGTTTAGACGCGCTTGAAGCAGCACAAGAGGTGGCGTGGCTTGTCTCAACATCCCTGGCCAAGCTTGGTGTACGCAACGCCAGTTACCAACCGGAGTGCCTGTGAAAATGGCCAATATGGCGATCCCCAGGTTCAGGCGTTGGCTAATGCTTTCGAGTGGGTTCGCGAGGGCTCGCAATACGTGGAAACATCGCGTTTGTGGCAGCGACCTGAGCTCATACGATGTCCTGTGTCACCTTTGGTCGCTACGGCTGTTGTCCCATGTGCCTGTTTTCGTTTTTCGATGTTTTGCAGGTATAAAACTCCCCTGAAGGAGACCTTGGCCAAGATGCTCTCGGGGACCCTGTCTTTCGACGCCTTCCCTTCCCTATTGCCTATGCCTCAAGAGGTTCGTGTGTACATACGTGTGGCCTGGCATGGTCGGGGCGTGATGCCTTGTGGTTACAGTTGTGTTTTTTCAGTCGTTGTACGCTTGAGTGCTCTAGATCGACGAAACGAAGCTGGGGGGTACCTAAGGAGAGGGGTTCAGCCTAGAAATTGACTGTTTGGCACTGTCGCTGGCTTCGCGGAACGAGAGTGACATTGCGTTGCTTTCGGTGGTCTCAGCCCTGGCAGGGAGGACGACTGCATGTAACTGAAGCTTCCTGGTTCGTCTCGAAAGGAACTGCTTTCAGTTTTCGTCTCGCCTGTTGCCCATCCCAATGGAATGCTGTTACACCGCGAATGCGTGGCGATGGTGTACAGTGCTGGCACTCGGCTGTGTCAACTCCAGGTGCAAAAGCTCAAGGACCGACACGCACAAAACTGCTCTCGTGTGTTTGGTTGTGGTGACCCTCGTGCGGCAGGCGCCGAAGAAGGCGGTGGGACGCAGCATCCGCAAGGGTGGTGGGCAGGAGGCAACAACGTACAGCGGAGGTGAGACGGACGTTGCAGCGGCGTCGTTCGTTGCGTTTGGCGGCTTGTTTGTTGTTTGTTGAGCCAGCCACCCTGTTGACGCACGTTCGCACCCGTCAACGCAGACGTGGCCGTTGGGTGCTTGCTGCCCTTCCTTTCCTCGTCTTTCTCGCGGCTTAACGGTGTGTCTGAACCCCTACTGTGTCCTGTTTGCTCGGTTTCCCTTTGCATGTGCTCTTCACACACAAATCGGATTCCTGCGCGTTTTCGCCGGCCCTGTTTTGCTTGCGCTTGCGCTTGTGGTGTGTGTTGTTGTCCCAGCTCGAGTAATCGTGTTCGTGATCGGCGGCGTGTGTCACTCGGAGATGAGGGCTGCCTACGAGGCAATGCAAGAATACGGACGGGAGGTTAGTGCTCACTCACAGGCGCTGCCTGTCCTGTAATCAGTACAGTTGTGTAACCTGGCACGGCGCGAATGCACGCTAAGTTGCGACAACGTGGGGTACGTCGAGGTAACCGGACTCACGCGGCAGAGAAATGTGTAGCGTATGCATACCCCCCCCTAAACTGCAGAGAACAGGGTAGTGATGTAGCATCAGTGCTGGACCTCGCGGGGTTTATTCGCTCTCACTGGCGTGCACAGATCCTGCTAGATTCATGAGATAAAACTGGTTTGTAGGAGTCGGAACGTTGCCGGCTGGCCGACATCGATGTACACGACGCTCCCTGTGTGGCACGGCCAGATAGATGGTGGTTCCACCAACTGCATTGACGGCTTGGGAGTGCTTATGTTTATGCGCCCATTGCCCCCCCCGGTGTTTGCCATCGGGGTTGGGTTTTCGTCGCTTGGCAACGACGTTGTAAAACAAGCCAATTCACTTCGTGAGCTCGGCAACCAGGTTACCGTTTTTTTTTTTTACCTCCGTTTTTTTTTTGGCGGTAACCATAATGGTGGTCGAGTAGATCATGTTGTGCGGGGTG